CACTTTTATTGTTGTTGTTATGTTGCTCATGTGAATCTGTGCATGCTCACCTTCTGCTGTTGACACAGTTCATGCTGGCTCTACTGGTAAAGTTTAGAGCGAGTGTTTCCCCCATCTTTGCCCTGCCACCCCCAGCAACAATTCTTGCTTCAGGAAATAACAAAAGACTACAAGGAGATAAAAAAAAAAGAAGTTTTAATTCATTACAATGTCACTCTGTTTTGCTTTATGGTGACATTAGTTCCTTTTCTATGCTCAGGGATTCACTGTGAGCTAATCAGATGAAGTAAATGATAGTAACTCCAGCTGAGGAACCAGTACTATGGGTCAATCATATTGAACCATGAGTACATCCTTATGTCCCCGCTGGTCCCTCATTTCTATCCTCCTATCTTGGCCACTGAGGCATATCAGTTTTGATCATGCACAATATTCACTTTGCTCTTGTGTTTCAGCTGGACCCAGTATCCGGTCCCGTCGAGGGAGGGACAGTGGTGACCATTTCAGGCTCCAACCTTGGTCAGAGAGCCGAAGACATCCAGGGCTCAGTCACAGTGGCAGGTGTTCCTTGCAATGTGATCCACAGCAGATATGAAGTCTCCTCAAGGCAAGTCAGGAGCACACCTGTGTGTACACAATTATTTTATGTACCATACTCCCTTTGTGACAGTTCTGTGACTCTGTTGTGTAGGATAGTATGTGAAACTACAAGCAGTGGAGGGGAGAAGAGTGAACAGGCCTCAGTCAAAGTGATGGGAGGAGGAGTCGGGCTGTCAGCTCAGTGTTTCCACTTCCAGGTAAATTAAGCAGCCATCAGTGTGTTTACATTAAACTGTAAAATGATTGAAGTATGTGTGTGTACAAATCTGTTTTTCCTGTCTTCCTTCTTTCACCCCAACCGGACGCGGCAGGTTTCTTCCTTTTGAAAGGGAGTTTTTCCTTCCCACTGTGCTTGCTCATAGGGGGGTCATATCATAGTTGTTTTTTTTCTCTGTATGTAATGTATTATTGTAGGTTCTACCTTACAACATAAAGCACCTTGAGGCAACTGTTGGTGTGATTTGGTGCTGTATAAATAACATTTACCGTAAATCCCGGACTACAGAGCGCACCTGATTAAAAGAATTTCTAATTTTAGAAAGAAAATCAATTTTGTACTTGAACAGGCCGCACCGGATTTTAAGCCGTATGCGTTTAACTTGTTATATGAGATATTTACACAGAAACATTACACGTGAGGATTTTTAACGTTTAATTTAATCCGTAACATAAACATGGTAACATAAACGTTATGGTAACATACAAAAATACATACTGCAAATGCTTTTTTTCCTCGAACAGCGCCTGTTACACGGCTACCTTTTAAGTATACGTACGTATCAGTAACACACAAATTACGTTGCTTAGGGGTTTTTTTTACGGAACAGTGCACAAACAACATTACAACGTGTCTTAACAACCGGTAAATATATATACCGTATATGTACTACTTATATTTTCTTTTATATATTCAATTTTATTGGTCTACTGTTACCAGGCAAAATGTTTTTGGCCGCATGAAAAAAACTATGCATTAGCTGCACGTCAGTATAAGCCGCAGTGTTCACAGTGTGGGGAAAAAAGTAGCGGCTTATGACCCAAAAACTACGGTAATTGAATTGTTTAGTCCAAAAGCCAGCATTTGCAAAAGAGGGACAAAAGGAGAACAAAGCAAAACAAAATATAATAATACATTAGGTTGTGTGTATGCACACATGTTCAAGAAACAGCAAAGCTAAAGAGTGATTTTAGGAGAAAGGCCTTGCAAGATATGTGTGGAGAATAACAAAGGATGAGGTCCACAATTAAGAGGCTGAGGTTGGCTCAGTCAGCAGCCTGTTTGTTCTGTATTTAATGAATTGAACATTTTTTCTGTTATCATTTATCTTAATTTGTGTCCATTTCGGTTATTTAGTCTTACTCGTACAGTGTTGAGTCAACCCCAAACTGTTCAGAAAGAAGCCTGTTCACTCTTCAGAGGGCTCCAAATTCATATTACCCAGCTACCATGACTGGGTCAAAAAGAAAGAAATAATGCACTAAAAATGTAAATAAAATGAAACATTTCAAAAGTTTAAACTTCAAATGGGAACGTAACAAACGTAACAAAGTAACAAACGTAACAAAGTAGCAAACGTAACAAACATAACAAACATAACAAAGGACCTAAAGATCCAAAGTAAAAGGAGTTGTTTCCTGAGAACCACTGTTGGGTTTATAGTGGCTCAAGCACTGTATCAGTCAGCAGGTACACCTTCCTGACATATTGTACTTATGTGTCTACATATTCTCATGATGTCAATGTATATGAACAACAGTGTGAAGCCCTTATAGATAGCTCAGGCAGGCACCTCCAGCTGCACTTCCTCACACACTTGCAGTCTGTTTTTATCTATCTACAGATTTTCTCTCTGACATGCCTGCAGTACCTGCTCTTTCAACCCCTCCATCACATTTAGCATCCACCTCAGCCTCAGTGGAAGGGGGAATATTTATGCATCGCTCACTAATGTCTTTCTTTTGCACGGTCCTCTGATTGGCTCAGAAGCTAGACACCTAAATTCTGTTCTGTTCTATTTTAACATCTTGAGATCAAAAATCTTTTTCCCGTGCGTGTCCTAGGCCAACATAGGCACCATTAATCTGTCAGTTAAATGTGAGCTTTCTGGCTGAACTATTATAATCAAAATAAAGTTTACAGCAGTAACAGTTCTATTCATAGCAGTAGAGCTGTAACTACATACTGATGTAATGATGTAACGGTATAGCAGTTCAGCAATGTTCTTAAATTCAAACAAGTTGGGTTACTCAGGCGTTACACACAGTGAAATGCTAAGCAGA